TCGAGAGGTATGGGAAAGGACACCTTCAGGAAGGACCTTGGAGACTGCGAGAGGTATGGGAAAGGACACCTTCAGGAAGGACCTTGGAGACTTCGAGAGGTATGGGAAAGGACACCTTCAGGAAGGACCTTGGAGACTTCGAGAGGTACGGGAAAGGACACCTGAGGCCATCAGTGCCCTGCGGCTTGGGGGCAGCCGGGGCTCCCTCCCTCCCTCCCCACGCAGCCCAATCCCTCTCCAGAGCACCCGTGTACATTGGAGGCTTCCCGTGCTCTGCACCGGGATGGGGAGGAGGCGATGTGGATGGGGACACACTGCAAAGCAGTGCTTCAGCGTGACAAAAGATTTGGGCTTGAATAAAAGATGAAGGCGGATGACACGGCAGACATCGCTGTAGTCACGGACGTTATGCAGAGAGTTAATAGGGAATGGTTATTCATTATTTTTTATAAAACTAGACATACGAGACACCCAAGGAAATTAACAGGTGGTAAACTGAAAACAAACCAGATGAAGCATTTTTTTTTTAAATAATATATTGCTGAATTATAGTCCTTGCTAGACAAAATAAGAAATTAAACTCTACCAGTTTTGAGAAGGGGACCGGGCAAGCTCATGAAGAGTGGGCCTACAGACAGCTATTCAATATGAAGATCCAGATGGAAATTTCTGAACTCTAAGCTGCTAGAAGTGATGAAGGTGAACTATCGCCAAGTCCTCTGTGTCTGCCCTGACTTTCTTAAAGCACCGGTAGAAGTAGAACATTAAGAGAGACGGACTTAGCAAGCACAATCCAGTCCATTTTGCTCTTTAAAATTGCTTACTGGAAATGAAAACTATTGGAAAAAAATGAAATGCAATTTTTCTATGTTTTTTAAGTGACAAAGCTATCAACCAGGCAATTTGTCTGTAATATTCACACAGGCACAGGAGAAGCAAAGTAGCAAGAAAATTACCGTCGTTTTTATTCTCTTCACAAACACTTTTTCAAGGATAAATCAAAATCATCGTATTTCACAATTACCATGAGTGCTGTGGGACTTGTTTGGGTTGGGGTTTTTTTCATATTCAGAAGCTGTGTAACATAACAAACAGTCTCATTAACTAACCCGGGAAATCGTCAGCATTCATTTTCATGAACACTCAGTGCCAGCAAGCCTTGCCAGATCCGATCTCAGCCTTTCTTCTGCTTCCAAATCACCAGCGGATCTTCCTCAAGGCTCACTGCTACGATACTAATAAACGACTCGGAACCAGTCGATCAGTTAACCAGTCAACAGACCGGCAGAGGAACCAGTTCGCCCCTGTAGGACGCTAAGGTACGTTGGTACAAACCAGAGAGAATTATTTTGCCTTTAGAGCTTACAAATAGGCAATAGCTGATCAGTAACAGATGTTGTTAAGGTTGAGGCTTGCAAAGCAATTAAGAGGTGTCACCACCTGAGGCTGACTCAGCTGCAACAGAAGATCTCCGCATCAGCCCTGCAGCGGGGTGGTGGTGGCACCCGTCAAATGTAATCAGCCCTCAGGAAAATTGCCCTTAAATTTACCTTCCGGTGAGGGCACCAGCAGCACTGCTGCAGCACATGCTGCTCACTTTCAAGCCTACTTCATATCCTGAGATCAGTGTTTCAGAGCACTCCTTCTTCACAAGCAGAACAGCACTTTTAACTTTTTTTTTTCTTTGCATTTTAATCTGGTTCTCAGACGGTCGAGTTCCAGCCAGGCTTACCCTATGCCATTTTAATGAAACGTGTGATCTGCCACCCTCTCTCCTGACAGGGCTCCGTCTGACCGGGATTACATTCTGATCCACCCATATTCTCCAGAGAGCTTCAGGGACATCAGAGTGCATATCTAATAAATATTTACAAAGACATTTCCTTAGAGAGAAATAAAAGACCATGAGTTTTCAATGGGCAGTGGAAAATTGTCTGCTGAGCATCTTTCAGCATGCATTTGCAAGTACATGCAAAAAAAGCCACAGTAGAAATCTTCATAGCTGAAGAAAGCATGGCAGGAGCCAGGCTTCCCAGCTCAGAAGGGATTTTTGTGAATTTCTGTGCATTACAACTGTAGCTTCCACTACACAGACCACAAGGCTGGGCTGACAATAATCCCATTATCCTGAACCAAATCAGCGTGGTGCTTCCTGCACCCTAATAGCGG